CAGTATAATCAACAGATTGAAAGATCTGTTGATTTTTCCGACAACCGTCTATCGCTACCAACTCCGATAGCACAATTGGGATCAAGTTCGCCAGATAGATCTCTTGTGTCCCTTGTAAATCATTCTGGTTCAATGAATCCTTCAACGGCCAAACCTTGCGATGTAACCTGTTACAAAGTAGGTGGTGAGAACACAAATTGTTGGGTTTTTCCAGCAAACATAAGCCAAGCCACCCTTGACGGTCGAAATGGCAGTAACGCCTGCACTGTCATTACGTTGATCTTGGGAAGTGTTATATTGCATTTGGATCTTCCATATCCACGTGCTGGCCCATTAAATCCATTGTGGTGTTCTCTGGTAGAAAAAGGTATTCGTCTTGGGAACAAAATTCACGACGAAAACGAGCAAGGAAGACAAAATTTGACCCCACTTGAAGCCGTTTACGCACTACGTTCAGTAAAGAACATCCATGTTGACGAACCGTTAGCAGTTCGCTTACGTGATCCACATGAGCCTTCTCAACTCGCCTACCAAATTCAACGTATGCTCCTTAAGAAAAAGTCAGCCGCAGCATTTGTTCAAGGCGACAGATCATTTCTTTTAATGACAGAGGAAAGCGGACACGTTTTAGCGATCGACACCCACACCCATATGGATGGAAGTCGAGGAGCAGTGATTGTCACTTCGATTGCGTTGACAGATATAGCCAGCTTTATCCTTGCCATTGAGGCGACATTTTCACTTGAAGAGGACTCGTTTGGAAACTTCGTCAAATTTTATTAAATAAAAGTCATTTGTTAGTTAATTTGTTTCTAGCTTATTTTAGCAGCGGTACTCAAATATTAATGCGTTCGGTCATTGTCGTGTGCAAAAATCTCAAAATAACATAATCTGTTGCCGTGGACGTCACAACCCCTCCTTGAAATTGACTTTGAACATCGCCACGATAGCTTTGAGTTCCAAACACTATACTTCATGATATCTTGCATAATTGCAGAGTTCTTTACACACATTGTCTTGGTAGAGCAGGAACATCCGATAATTTTAATTTTTCCTGCGAAGGGTTCAATTCCCTTTCAATGTACATTTCTGTAAAATTTTAGAATTCGCTGAAAAATCGAATGTATACTCCATGACACCACAGTTAATGGAATATACATCATACATGGTTTGGAGACCACATAATTAAAAAAAATACAATGCAACTATGTTGAGGTAGATTTATGCACAGATAAACCATATTTTTCAAGTCAAGATTGATAAGCTTAGCAAAATGAATGCCATTGTTAAGTTTAGCTAAAATAAAATAGACACGTGAAAAAAAGGAACATTTTTTGCATAATCCTGGACAATTACATAGTTTAGTGAGTTGTATTGTACTTTTATTGCGATAACACAAATATTTGTTGTATCGCCGCAGGACTCATATCTACAGGGTGAGTAAAAAACCCCTGAACCTTTGAAAGTCAAATTAGCCGCAAACCTAAGGCTGGAATTTAACAATTCCCATGCGTTAATGTGTACAATCAACAGGACGTGGTTAATTAATGCGAAAGCGTTTAAACCAATTGAACTAATTCAACGTGGCGCGTGTGCTAGAAAAACAGAGCTTAGAATGCATTTTAACTCCCAAAAGGAACAAACTACAGCGTGTCCCAAACGAAAACTATTGAAATCACCCATAACAATGCAATTGTTAGAGTTTGAATGCGTAAGAACTTTGTTGGGACCCACAGGTGTATAAATGCTTACCATACGCATTTTTATGCATGCATATGATGCAGTAAAATTTGCTTGTACGCAAAAATGATATTTATTTACAATATTTACAATTTACAAATATGGATAACAATATTTAAATGTGCATCTCAAGGACCATGACCTTCAACATATTCCCCTTTCTCTAGCAACACAAAGCATTTAGCATTTTATAAGTTGCATTAAATCCCCATGGGCTGAAGTTCGTGAACACGGCATTCAAATTTTAACAATGAGTGATTTCAATACTTATCAGTTTTTTTTTGGGACACCCTGTATATGTTTTAGGTTAATTAATGGGTTCACTTATTTGATATGCTTCGTATACCCATGAGATATTTTACGCAACTTCTGTCACATTACAGTTAATTTGAATTTCAAATCAGTTTTTTTTACTCACCCTGTGTATGAAAACGAGGATCTACAGGGTGTCCTAAAAAAGCCGAAAACTATTGAAATCACTCACTGTTAAAATTTGAATGTCGTGTTCACGAATTTTAGCCCGTGGGGATTTAATGCAACTTATAAACTGCTAAATGCTTTGGTTTTGCTAGAGAAAGGGGACATGTCGAAGGTCATGGTCCTTGAGATGTACATTTAAATATTGTTATCCATATTTGTAAATTGTAAATATTGTTAATAAATATCATTTTTGTGAACAAGCAAATTTTACTGCATCATACGCGTGCATAAAAATGAGTATGGAAAACATTTATACAACTGTGGGTCCCAACAGAGTGCTTAGGCATTCAAACTCTAACAATTGCATTGTTATGGGTGATTTCAATAGTTTTTTTGGGACACTCTGTATATCTATATATATGAAACCCCACTGGGGTTTTAGACTTTTTAACTTTAACTATCATACTTTTAAACATAAAAGTGTGATAGTTACAACAGCACAGTTAAATGACAAGAAATAAACATGTAGTACTACATGCAATCAGTTTCAGAGACACACCACTTTTTTACTGCAAAGTATTGAAGACATTACCCCTTACACGAATTTCAAGGCAAAGCAATACGAGCTGCAACATTAGCTTTTTTATTAGCTTTAAATTCTGAGAATGTTTTGGATCTTGCGTTTAAAATATCATACACAGACACTCTGCTTCCTTATAAGGAAATAGGAATTTAAAGAATAACCCGAAAAGCATCTTACAACAAGCCCAAAGAGGTACATCTTTCAATTTTTTGGTGATGTATATAATAATATGATGTGATGTATATATAATAGACATATATAGGAGGGCATAGCAACAGATAGGCCCAACTGGCAAAGCTTCATTTTGATTAAAGAAAAACTTAAGGTCGCACAACTTTGGTCGCGATTTTGTGGTGAAGCCGTATAATAGACAATATATAAGGCAGGCAACCAGATGGGCATATCGAAACATACTCAATCGCATTTTTTCAATCTCTTTGAAATTTTGGAAATATGAGTTAATCATGGAGACTAACAAACTGGCAAAGTTTCATTTTGATTAAAGAAAACTGAAGGTAGCACAACTTTGGTCGATTTTGTGGTGAAGCCGTATAATAGACAATATATAAGGCAGGCAACCAGATGGGCATATCGAAACATACTCGATCGCATTTTTCAATCTCTTTGAAATTTTGGAAATATGAGTTAATCATGGAGACTAACAAACTGGCAAAGTTTCATTTTGATTAAAGTGCATATCACCCAATTTTTTTTATTTGATAAACTAAACGTATTAATGACTAAGAATGAAGATTCAGTTTGGTTTTTGAATATTTTGTTTATTTTCATGATTATTTGAGCGTAAATAACGTCCCTATAAGAAACTTGACCGAGCGCAGCGACAACAAGCGAGGACTGGTGCCAGTGACGTAGCGCGAGGAACTCGTGTTTGGATGCCAAGTAGATATACTATATCGATACTATACTATTTGGCATAAATTCTTAATACATTTTTGAAGAATTTGCGCAAATTTTACATAAGAAATGTCCACAGCGACTTCTGATTCTGAGAATGACTCAATTCCCGACGATGACTCGGATTATAACTATTATCCTGGTAAATATACCATTATTGAATTGGAAATTATGCAAGCTTCTGATGATGGCGAAAATGAACAACAAACAAGCTCTGCTGAAGTTGGACCGTATTCTAACGAGCCTATTGCAGACGAAGAATGGTTAGAGGCTTACCGAAAAAGACAAAAAGAGAAAGAGCAAAGATTGGCAAATTTAAAGGATCGTCTCGCCGGAAAAGAAAGCCTTAGTAACTGGTATGTGAAATTCCCAAAGATGGGAACATATTCATTCTTATATATTTCAGGCAGATTTCTCTCTTTGTATATTATAGCGGTTGAAATTTTGTTTTGAGATATGTGACCACAAAGACACAACTATTGTTATTAATTGATAGGTGCTCTTGTGGTAATTGCTCTACAGCATTTTTGAAAAATGAAAATAAATGTGTGTGTTGTAAAGGTTTTGATAGATGTGTGGAGTCCTTGTCAGACGAATGGGTAATTCAAGACATGTCTACTGCCCCAGAGTGTATTACACTACATCCGGCATTTTCCACTGTTTGCCTCGATAGATGGTCATTAAGATTATCAGCATCAAAGTACAGAACAATCGATAGGCAGTGTTATCGACAAACTGGTTCAGAGGAGGCGTAAGTAATATTTTACTTATATACCATTCCTTTGGTGCTAGCATTATTAGGTAAAGGTCAAGCAAAATAAATGTAAATTATGGTTAATGTGATCCTATTTTTTTATATCTGTAGGTTCATGAGAAGTGTAGCATACCGCGAGTTTATTCATCTTGTGTATGACCGTGTTGGAAAAATGCGAATTCCTCTACCTGCATGTGCATATCATGCAATAAGATCTAAATTTCAACCAAAGGACAGTAAAGAGCATTTTGTTGGTTTCCAGGATGATGACATGGATGATTAATTAAGTATTTATAATTATTCAAAAGCTTGTATAAATATAGATATTTATTTAAAAAATCAGGTCTGCATATTTTTTGGGCAATCTTTTACATATTTATGTCCTTTCATGGGATTTCTGCATGTTCTGCAACGCTTTAATGGCTGGGGATTCCTTGCTGAGGTTTCTGTCTCTGCATTCACTAAAACAAACATTAAACTCATTAAAACCCACCACTTTTTCAAGGTGGACTAAGATTGCTTGTTGTTAGTGCTGGTAAAACACAATCATAATGGGGCGAGCTGGGTTTCCAATCTCAATATGAAAATCTACATATAGATTCCTGAAAGTGATATACCTTGAATAGTCCTTGGAACCTCTTGCACAACCATTGATTTTCTCTTCTCCCGTGCTGCTGTTGCTTCACACCTCGGCTGTTTTTGAAGCATAGTGTTCATTGGAGCTGGTGTCATGATTTCCAGCTCCTTTCTAGCTTCCTTTAGTTTCTTGCTTTTCTGGACTTCAATAAACATGTTCATGATTTCATCAACATAGTCTGAAGATGGAGTAAAGTGATAATTATTAACACAATTGGGCATTAAAAAATATAATAAGCATACACATACCATATCGATGAAAAAAATGATCAGAATACTGTTTATTTTTATTAATTAAAATGGAACGTTTTTGTCGTTAAACTTACTATTCTTTTCTTCTATTTTCTTTTTTAAATCAATGATTTTATTTCGGAGCTGCCTGTTTGCGTTTGCCAATTTCTTACAACAATGTGCCTCTGGTGTTTGAGTAGAAGCCTCTTTGGACTGTAAAAATAAATTTCATAAGAAAACCTAGACATATAAACTTAGTATACTGTATATTCAATTGAGAAAATATTAGAGAAGCTTATAAAACTCATGGTAGAAATTGGATCCTCCGGAGGCGAGTCATTTGCAACCGGACTTGGAAATGGTTGTGAATGAGGAGCATCACCTAAACAGAACTCTGATGCTGTTTCACCAGCTGTAGATATCGGCGGTGTAAAACTGCGCAACTCTTCGCTGTTTTCCTTAAGGACTTCCCGTACAACCTATTCAAAGACAAAATTCATATTCCTTAGCATTCAAAATGTTAGAGATAGGTATATACCGTATAAAACGGAAGGAATAAAATGTCATCATACTTACGCGACGATGCTGTCTCGTGGAAGTTGTACTATGCTCTCCGGAGTCTTCTGGGCCACTAGTTTTGTGGATTGTAGGCACAGCGTTTTTTTTAAGTACTGCGCGACTAACGAAAGCCGATCCTGGAATTGTAATAAATGGGCTCTCAAAATCATCGGCCCGAAAATGCTGCGAGCAAAGTCTGGAGTTTGGCGTTGGCGACCATTTTGCACGCTTTGTTCGAACAAAAGCAATCCAAATTCTCCGTCTTTTTTTCTCCAAATCGTTATCTTCGGGGAATTTATGAAGGCCAATGTTGTTCGAAGGGTCTGGAAGATTTGAACAACCGCCAGCTACACATCTATTAGGCATATTTTCGCGTAAGATGTGAAATAATTTGTATAGCGCCGTATATGTAAATACAAGATGCGAAATGAAGGTTCCTCGCGCTACGTCACAAGACCCAGGCCCTCGACACTCATTTTGCTCGGTCTAAATTTAGAAGCTATCGAGAATCGCTATATTTATTGTAATTTAGGCTCCCAGAACGTATCAAAAGCAACGCAATAGAGGTTCGTTTAAAAAAAAAAGATTATTAGAGGGGTTTACTTCTTGTTTATCAAATAAAAAAAATTGGGTGATATGCACTTTAAAGAAAAACTTAAGGTCGCACAACTTTGGTCGATTTTGTGATGAAGCCGTATAATGAACATGCATAATAGTTTTATCCTCACAATTCTGGATACCACAAGTTTATATTCTTAGCACATATTTACAAATCAGCGTTGATGGAACAGGTTGCCTTGATTACTAATAACGTGTGACATATATCACTACATTCGCAAAATGAAGATGTCTGCCACGCAACAATCTGTCAACAAATTGTGTTCAGTCCCACTACTTTTGTCACATTCTTGTCACACAACTTGCTGCGTTGTTATAGGTATAACTTTGATTCATTATAACTTAGTATTCCTATATCGAAGATCATCTTTAATAATTGTTGGCTCCAAAGATGAAATTTTATTGCTTTTCGAGCATTTTTAGAACGGTTGAAAATGTCACTATCCGGTGGATATAGCGTTATCACGCTTTCATACTACAGGCCCCTGGGGCCGGTTGTATGAAGCCCGTTTATCTTAAACGGTGGATAAGTCAAAATTAAATAACACTCTTACATCTCTCTTGAATGAGTCAACTTGAATATTATGCACTGAATATGTAGTTGTAAACAGTATCTTTGTAAAACATTTAGTTTACTTGTTGAATAAAGCGGCAGGCTTGCTTTCTATTTTGAACTTAACCACCGTTAAGGCTTGATACAACCGGCCCCAGGAGTGTAACAGACTTGTTGGGACAGCCTTGTGACAAGTCTGATATCATCCAGTTTGTTTCAATTATTTTCAAACGTGCTTTATCATACAAAAGGTGGTAGCGACAATGCCTTGAATGAACTGCAATGATTGTTAACAGACCGAAAGCTTTGCAGTATGTGGTATACCTATATACAAGCTAGTTTACTTAGTGATGTCACCATGAAAACATACATGGAAGAATATTATGAACTACAATGATGTTAAAACATTCAACTTTGTCCAGCTTCTGTCTTGAAAACGAGGCATATAGCCTGATATAGGTCGAAATGTCGAGACAATCGCTGAACAACGCCGAATGTAGATGTTTTACTACTCGATGTTTTGCTAAATCAGATTGATAAACGTTTACAAAATGAGATGTGTCGTATAATGATTATAAGAACTAAAATAGAGTATATTAGAAACTAATGTTGACCGGGAAAAAGGTCCTTTCTACCGAAATGCTTTAGGCTTCTGTTTCACTGGATTCGTCATCACTTGAACACGGTGATTCGTCTACAGCATCTTCAACATCAATTATTATGTCAGAAATGCCAGAGACATTACCAAGGACTTTGGAAAACATTTCCACACCACATTCCAGTTGTCGCATAGCAAAATCTATACCAATTCTTAAGAGGGCAAGCTTTCCTTTCAGAACACCAGTCTCTGTTGAATATGTTATATATCTCCCCTGATAAATAGGCACAAGAGAATGCGTGTTCATCAAAATAGACTAAAATTAATTTCTATACTTACACTATTTAGATAACACGGTAGTATAACTGGACTACTGTTTCATGTACCTCGTTGTTTTCTACCATGGAGCTAATAATTTCAGATTTATCTAAACGAACGAAGTACAACTATAAATAAGTTACTATAATTGTATTAAGATATATAGCGAAGGGTTAATTAGAAGTAATATATATATATATATATATTAATATATATAATAAATATATATATATAACACTATTTTATTGACATGCATGACTCACCACTAGTAAGCTGAGCTAACAAGATGGCTTCGTTCTCCTTAAGACGTCTAACAACATTGTTTCTATAATATTCGATGAAATGTTTCATCTCCTTTTCTAAAATGCCAATCTCTTCTTCATAACGAGTGCATTCATTCTCCAACTCAGCTATCTTCTTCTTAACACGAATCGGGTAAACTGTAATAAAAAACATACTTATATACACATGAGCAATAATTAGGTAAATAAATAATATTATCTGTATTATTTTTGGGTGTTTGTTCGTAGAAACACCACATGAATTTAGTTTTGCAAAGTTTTCGGTCTGTAAGTCCCGACTGTGCATCATCTGTGTAAATTCGTAGATGGTCCTGCATAGTTTACGGGTCGAAAGCTCTGCAAAATTGCTAAATTCACGAGTTGTTTCCACAAACAAACGTCCAAAATTATACATCGCCATGCAAACTTTCAAAGAACTTATAACTGTAGTATTTTTGATAGTTTTTTTTCAAATACATGGTATTATACTGCGTGCATGGTATTTCCTGATTATTTATATATTAAGATTCACGATACCGTTAGCCTTGTTGAAATTCATTCTCTGTGATCCAAGTGAAAACTCCAGATTGAACCTCTTCGACATTGATTGAAGCACTTGGATTTAGTTCATTGTAGGCATCTACAGCTTCTTTCAAGTTGTTCTTGGTGGACGAAATTTTAGTTTGTATTCGACGTTTTTGCTTTGATGAATCTAAAATAATATTTATAGCTATTTATAGTTAATAATATATATATATATATAGCTAATTAATATATAGGTATACTGTATAATAACAAACATTTCGTAAATCTTCAAATTGAAATGAATCCGATAGTTTTATAAAAAATGAATGCATGAAAGGTATAGGATGTAAACGTGCATACCTGCAAGTTTGTTCATATTAGCCGCCAGTTGCACTATTTTAAAGTGTGCAGTCTGCATACTGCGTTCCAACATAGACGAAACATTGCCCCTTAAAGATTTTTCACCGTTATCGAGAACATTCATCCAGTCTGGACCAAACTTCTCTTTTAACTTGGGCACCACAACTGAGAGGTCAGCAGACGCTATTTTTTTATGGTACTTTGGAAATACTTTGACCGCATTGATAACCAAAGGGTTACGACATTCTGAATTAACATGGGTTTCGTTCGCCCAAAAAGCTTCTTCCTCTTCTGACAGAGCTACTCGAACTTTTCTTCTTATTTCTTCTTCTATTAACAAGATATGAAGTAGTGTATGTAATATTTAGCTGCAAGCAAATTATGTTTGTTATTCTCAATGTAATATTACAATTAGCAATATAACGTTGGGATGGCTACATTATATTTTGTAGAATACAGTTTAAGTAATAGTAACGAGGATTTCCTGACTTTTATGTATACCTCTTGCAGATTGAGTCACATCTTGAATCCATGTCTCTGAATTTGTTACGCCTAAGTCATTTTTTGCTTCAGCGAGTTTCTTTTGCAGATCTTGAAAATCTTGTTTTGCCTATTATCACAGAAATAGACAATAAATAATAGGTCGAAATATATTCGTTCATTTGCTAACTGTTATTTTTTGTTGTTGCTGGAATAAAATACTGATGATGTACGTAAGTATTACTAACAACACAATAAAATACACCTTCATATATCTCTTTGCCAAAACTGCTGGCATCTGCATGATTTTTCTCTTGTTCCAAATCAATGCATGCTCAGTAAGTAATTCTTCTCTGCCTGTAAACAGAATACAGTAAATATCATTATTTAAAACTTTTTCTGCCAAATACAACCAAATATAGATATAATATAATCACATGTACACCTTCTGGTAACATATGTTTGGTACTATTTCCAAGTCGAGAAAAATGGCTATTTATTTGTTCGACCTCTTCGCCAGTGGTCGCACCCGCCTCTTTTTGCCAACGACCACCCCAGAGTACCTTAATTAAAAGGAAATTAAATGCCTGACAAATTGATAGAAATGACTAATGTAAGAATGGAGGAAGTCAAAAGACATGGAAATGTGGAAGAATAAGGGGGAGGTTATAATAACTGTTTCGTTTTGTGGGTGACACTACGTATATTTCTGTAATCATTATTGTATAAATGGGTATACATAGTGTTTTCCACACATTGAATAATTATTATTATTTTGCCATGTAAAACTACAAAGACTTTAAAACGGGATTGTTGAGGATAGAGATTAAAAGCTATACTAAGGTTTCCAATTCAAACAACTTATCTGATGATTGCACACATCTACCAATGTACAGTATAAATTATAATATAATGTAATATAATGGTACCTGACTTGTCCATGAATGGGTTTTGGCATGCATAACAGACAATCCAGGTTTTGTCTGGTCAGCAAGTACAGGGTCATGTTTAATAAGCCATGGCCAGTATTGGCAAACCACATCATACCACAAAAACATCCCATTATTTTTTGCTACAAAGACTTTAAAACGGGATTGTTGAGGATAGAGATTAAAAGCTATACTAAGGTTTCCAATTCAAACAACTTATCTGATGATTGCACACATCTACCAATGTACAGTATAAATTATAATATAATGTAATATAATGGTACCTGACTTGTCCATGAATGGGCTTTGGCATGCATAACAGACAATCCAGGTTTTGTCTGGTCAGCAAGTACAGGGTCATGTTTAATAAGCCATGGCCAGTATTGGCAAACCACATCATACCACAAAAACATCCCATTATTTTTTGTTAGAACATGTTTCTGAAGGTAGTGTGCATAGCTATAAATTTCGCCTTGAAACATATTTACTGCCGCTTGAGCCACGGTATGTCTACAACCAAGAATCTCTAGACCAGTCTCATCAAGGTTCTTCTTTTTCCCTGGTCTATTTCGTGCAGCCCTCCATGTACTATCACCACACATGGAACTTTCAGTATTAGTCTTTATTAAAAAATTGAACATAAAAACATAATTTAATCTTTATTAGAAAATTGAACATAAAAACATAATTTAAATTATTTAAATAATATTTAATAATAAGGTTGGGTTCCACTCAGGTATATTGTATATAGAAATACTCGGTACTCTGGTACGTTGAAAGGGAATTGAACCCTAAACAAGGAAAGTTCAGTTTCATCCTGCTCTTCCAAGACAATGTTAGTGAGTATGTTCTACAATAAAGTATTAATAAACACAAATATATCTTACATGAGTATATGAATCAATAGGGCTGACTGGAGTGATTTTCTTACCTCACTGGCTGGCTGGCAAATAACAGACTGAAAAAAATGCCACTAGCTGGCAAATAACAGACTGAAAAAAATGCACAAAAAATTTAATGAAAATAAATTTTTTGGCCCAATTTGTATGAATTAGTAAAATCATTTTCGGAATAATAAAAAAAATTGTGGAGTACTGCACTTACTTATGGTTATAATATTTCCATCATCATCAGTGCTTTCTGTTGGCCGAATATACTGGTAGAACCCATCTTGAGATACATGCTGTCTGTCGTGAAAAAGATCATTCTCATGTTGCTTTAGGTCGCAAGTGCCACACAAGCTTCCCCCTCCACAACACTGCATACACTTGATGAAGCCAGATTTCACCTTACACTGCGAACACATCTGAGGTGTTGGTGCCTGACAAGATAAGGTAGTCTCAAAGATTGAAGAACGGCAGGATTCCCAATTAGTATTGACGTTCTCCATTCTCTGTCCCCATGTCACAGTCCTCCTCTGCTGTTTTGACTTCCATTCTGTTAAGAACTTATCTGTCTCTGCAAGCAGTCTATCAAGTTCTGGGCACAGTAAAACAAATATTAAATATAAGATTTTTCTGTTTGCTAAAATTTATACAGCAAAATGTAGTGGATTATTATTACCATTATTTATACTGTCATCTTCATCTGGTTCATAATGTTGGTGAAATACCTCCTCCAGTTCTACAGAGAAGTTGGGAGAACCAGAAAAGCACAACTTCGATTAGTTCGATAGACTGTTATATACTGTACTGTACATAGGAACCTTGAGAATGCAATATCAATCTAAGTTAAATTAATGTTAGGCAAAAAGTGACGAAGGCCCATAGCTCTAAACGCCAAGAAGTTCTGTTTTGGAAATACATATATATATATATATATATATATATATATATATATATAATTATATATATATATATATATATAATGAGAAGGTGTGATCCAGAAGGAACTATTGTTAGAGCACTTCAAATTCGTGTCACACACACGCGATCATACAGTGTAAGGGCCCCTCTGTCGTTATGGCATATGGATGGAAATCATAAATTGATAAGGTAAAACTACATACTTTTGCTTAATAATTAATCTAGATGCATGCATTTATGATATATACATGTATATGTATCATATATGATATTCGTACTAATGTACTGTCTTTCTCAAGATGGAATTTTGTGGTGCATGGGTGCGTGGATGGTTACTCGCGAAAAATTATGTACTTATCATGCAATGGAAACAACCGAGCTGATACTGTTTTAACACATTTTTCAAATGCAGTTGCTACACATGGACTTCCTTCCAGGGTGAGAGCTGATCATGGCTATTTAGATTTATCAAATAACATTCACAAGTTCTGTTTACATTATATTTTTGAGCCACGGATAAATGCACATCTTCAGAGATTTGTAGAATCATGGAATAATCATCCCTTACGAACAGCTGGAAATAAGACACCAAATCAACTATGGATATGTGGCCTTGCTCTGCTTTCTAGAAGTTCTGACCTTGCTGGGATTGAATTGCTACAAGAATTGATGCAGGTAATAATGCCTTTTGCTTATATTATAAGGTAAATATACTCAGTACTATAATTGCAGGATATGATTAAAGTGAACTCACATGTAAACATAAATTGGTTTTTGGAGTGACAGTCGAAAGCAACCTTAACACAATTATTCATAAATGTGTGCGTTGGAGCAGGGGGGGGCATTCATTTAAACAGGATTTTTATCATATGTTGAGTGTTCATTGGAATAAATATGGTATTCATTTGTTGATAACTCAGGCTTTTTTTCAGGACTGGAGTGAATATGGAATAGATTGTGAGGAATTAAATAATGCAAATGAGGAAGCTTCACCCATAGATCTACCAGAAGTAACAAACCCATTGTCAGAGAGAGACTTTGATGAGTTGCAGGTACAAGTGAATCCAACTGCACATGATGAAGCATATGGTATTGATCTATATCATCAAGCCTCCATATTTGTCACTGGACGAGTCCATGATTATATTTAAGTACTTATACTTAAAACCAACCATAAAAAAACAGAACCATTAAGACAATGCAAAGATACTTTAAACTTAGTACAAAATTTAAACAGCTTACTAACAGTAAACTTTACAATATATCCCCTTGTCTTTTTGTACGAATGAAACACTAAAAGGAAACAACAATATCAACTATTTGTTCTTGCAATAATACGTCAAAGGTCATGGTTAGAAAGCAGATCAGACCATACCGTATCCAGGTCCTTCCAAGATATCTTCAGCCAAACTGGATATAAAGACACCACAATCTTCATTAGCATATCTGGAAGTAATTGGAAAACAGAAGGAATTGGTGCATGTGTTTCCTTTGGCACGTGTTCCAGGTAGTGCATCATGCATGAATTCCACTGTGCCTTTGCATCCACCAGGAGGTGGGTAACGCAACCCAGTTGCAAACTGGTAAACATCGTTCAGGGTTAATATGTGCGTTGCCTCTTCTTCAAAAAGTTGTTCACCAAGTATGCCATCCAGGCTCAGCACAGTTCTACTAACTTCTCCCTGGCTGCACTTTTTCAGAAATTGGTTGAAGTTGAAGATTACAAGTTATTCTTTTTCCCTCTTAGACGATCCTTTGACTGAGAATGTCGGCACGAAGGGTTTTCTGACATCTTCAATGGAAAGCTGGCTGTATGTGAGCTCTTTGAATGCTTCTTCTGGGTGTTCTCTCAAGACACTTAGGACACCAAATGTCGACAAGCCTTCTTGAAAGCTATGAATTTCTTCCAATGCCGAGCTAATCATGATGTGTTTAGCAACAGCTTGTATTAGCTCCTCTTTTTCCCCCGAATAAGATTTTTGTGCTGTTTATCCCCATGTCAAAGCGTTCGTCAAAATTCAACAAGGCCTTCGTCCAATCATCTGGGTTTGTGCATCCATTTAGGCTCTGTAGTTTCGTAACTATTTCAGCTTGATCACCAGGAATCTCCTTAATAACTTTATTTCAAAGCCGTAGATAGACCAGTCAAATAAATATGTAAATGCACCTTACTTTCCATATTACCATTTGAAGACAATGAAAAATGAAAAGATGATTCACAACCATTTTTTCTACATCAACTGGTCTGAAAACGTTCAGAAACAGGCAAAGCGCTTTCGACACAGTAAATCTTTAGCGAAAAGTTCAAGGCGATGGATCTCCCAACAGCGGCAGATAACAAGTAAATCTTTAGAGAAAAGTTCAAGGCAAAGGATCTTCCAACAGCGGCAGATAACACAGTAAATCTTTGATAAAATGTTCAAGGTAAAGGATCTTTCAACAGCGGCAGATAACAAGTAAATCTTTAGAGAAAAGTTCAAGGCAAAGGATCTTCCAACAGCGGCAGATAACAAGTAAATCTTTAGAGAAAAGTTCAAGGCAAAGGATCTTCCAATAGCGGCAGATAACAAGTAAAACTTTAATAAAATGTCCAAGGTAAAGGTTCTTCTACAGCGGCAGATAACACAGTAAATATTTAGAGAAGGGTTGAAGGATATTAGATATTGAATTCACTTTGCTTTATTTTTTTTTTTTATCATTTAATGTGTTATCTGCTGCTGTAATTTACTGTGTTATCTGCCGCTGTAACATTCTCGTTGAACCTGAAACTCTTCGCTACTATGACGTAACCAAACCCGTGGCGCTTCAAGTCGACGCGTCACAGCACGGACTCGGGGCAGCATTAATACAAACCAATGGCCCAGTTGCATATGCTTGAAAAGCTTTTAATGAAACCAAACGTAGATATGCTCAA